TAGGGAAACCCTATTTGCACCCAGCCCTTCTGTCAAAAGAAAAAAACTGCTTGATTTAAAAAAGATTTATTTGGTAACAGTGAGATTTCTCCCAACCTGTTTATGTCATCATAATACAACCTATCCATTTTGCATTAATTTTGCCAGCTACAAAACAAATTTCAGCTAAAGCATAGAGCTGGTCTGGGTATGTAGGTTTATTTGTAATTTCTTAGTGTAATATTGTTCATTTTATTATGAACTCATTATTCTTGTCTGTTGATCAGTTAATGCTTCAGTTCATTGAGTGATGCAACTGTAAACTAAGCTGAGGTCTGATTATTTTTAAAGTAAATTTACACCCTGTAGAAGTGAAAAGCAAAGCTGGGACAGCTGAACCATTAAGACTGGTTCAACAACAAATTTTTAAACATTGCATTTAAAAATTGCTGATTATTTAAGAAGCAAAAATCTCTTATCATGCATTTATATTATTTTTCATCTTTCACATAGAAAAATAACTGAAAAGATCTATTACTATTATCAAGTTTTGTTTTCTTTGTTTTGTTTTGAAGCGTGGGAGATTTCTTTTAAAACTAGAACTTCTTACTTTTTGAAATGACCCACTGATGGGATTCTGTTATTTTCCAAATGGCAGAAGAGCAAATAATAAAACCTCATTTAACTAAAATTGGTTATAGAGCCAAATCATCATTCTTACTTGCTGAGATGTGAAAAGACAGCAGACTTCTTTATTCAGAATACTGCAATGTGTGTGGTACCAGACCAGCTGCTAAAAAGTTACACTAAGGTTTACAGACATTTTTTTTAAACACAACTTTATGCACACAGTGTACAAGGCCACCTCTCCCTGCGTGAGTCCAATTTTCTGAAGAAGAATAAGAATTAATCAATATTTTCTTTTAACATATAACAAACAGTTGAACCAAACAATTATGTAAACTGGAAGTGACCCAAAATGCTAACAGTTTGGCAGCAGTAAAGTGAAATGCATTGTGGTGCACATGTGCATTTTTGTCCCCCTTTTCCCCTCCACAATAATCTGCACTTAATAGGAATATTTTAAACTATGTAGCTAAGCAACAGAGGTAATTGTTGCTTTCTAGAGCTTTTGTTAGGCACTCTAACACAGCCCAAATATGCATAATTAGGTATAATGTCTATAAATCATTATTGTACACATGTGGGTAGTTAAGTGGATTGAGAGAATAGTTCAATGAATTGGACATATTCACTGAAAATGCTTTTTATTTGTTTTCTGTAGTTCATAATACTTTAAAATTATCATAACCCTTTACACTTTCTCTTAATAGCTCGCTGTGTTATTGAGAGAAACTTCATTTGCATTTTAGACTATGCTTAATTTATTATTTAAACCTGGAGTTCTTCTGATTCAGGAGAGGACAGACACATCTTATGAAATAGTCTGTGCTTGTTTATTCATCCTCCTTTCTAGGAAGTAAAATGTTAAATTTTTCAGTTTATGTTGAATAGATCCCAACAAAAGTATGTACCCTATAATCAGCATTATTGAAGGGGCTAGTGTTGTGACTAAATTCTTCCCTTCATCCAAAAATGCTTTTAGTTACTATGGCAATATTTACTTGATCCTGGCAAACCAGTGTTGATTTGAGAGAGATAATTACCAGAAAGGAAGATGATGGAGATGTATTTTTGAGTGTCCTTGTCAGAGGAAATGTTTATAAAAAATTAAATGAGATACAAAAGGCATATTGTCTTCCACACCGACAACCTCTCCTACATGCAGCCTCTATTACCTGCTGGCTGCTGCTTTTCTTCTGAAGAAAGATGTTTATAAAGACAGGATGCACTTCAGTGGTGTCTTTAACAAGTCCTTTATGACTCTGTACATAACAACCATTCCTGTTTCTCTGTGCATGACCTGATCTATCACTTAATGTGGTAATTGCAATGGTGACCAAGAGCTTGCCCTTTGCGAAGTATTAAGGTATTTTCCATCAAGGTCTTTCTTGGGATCTGGGGTGACTGGGAAAGTAATTAGGGTCTATTTTGAGAAAATATTTGGGAGTCTTAGATGAAATAAAAGTGCAAATATATCAGAGGAATTTTAAAGTGTGTGTGTGTGCGCTTGTATATATGTATGCATATATTATATAGATTGTGTGTATATAAACAGTATCTATCTATCTATGGCACATTATATTTATATGAATGTATACGAGTGTGCGTGTGTTCTAAGACAATATATGTCTTCACCATCAGTGAAAAATGGCAACATATTTATTTTTCATATAGTTTTGGAGCTATAATATAAAGTAGATATAATCTTAGAAGGGCTTTTCCTGATGTTACAAGCAGTCATTTCAAACACAGCCTTGGTGTGAATTCAATCATTTCAGAGTACCTTTGAGTAAAGAAATGGCGATTGGTAAGTAAATATCTTCATATCACTTCTACAATATTCAAAAAGCAGTTATTCTTACAAATTTTTCTCTTGCTTTTTTCTCATGCAGAGGAAAGTACTCCAAAATCATCTGAGGAAACCCCTCTCTTGGGTGGACAAGAAAATTCCAGTCAAAGAAAAGATAACTACTCCAGCTATCAAGATGATGTGGCCAAATCTTTGATGAACATGGGAAAATTAGCAAAGGACACACCCAGCCAAACAGTGGCAGAAAATCTAAATGATAGCGGCATTCAATCCTTAAAAACAGAAAGTGATGACACTGATGAATGTTACATGATTAACTCAGCTGAAGGAAAGGAAAAGACTGTTATTTCTGACCCAAAATACTGTTCATCTGAGGAAAATGAAAGTAACTCTGAAATTATGGACAACGAGTGGGACAGCTCCTCAAACTTCTCAGAAGAAACTAGTATAAAGCCCCATGTAACTCAGAAGTATATTGTAGAGTGTAGTCAACCTAGCATCCTGGAAGTCCCAGAAATTAAGAAGGAAGAGGTAGAATTTGGCCCTTGTGAAACACTTTGTGACTCAGAAACAGAGCTAAGAGCACCCCAGGAGTCTCACCCAGATCCTTTTGAGAAGAGAATTCAGAATCCCTTCCCTGAAAGTGAAGAAGATGACAACGAGTGCCTGTCAGAAACCACAGAAGCATCAGTCGAGCTGGACAAAACAAAAGGGAACTTGAGTTTGCTAGAACAAGCAATCGCTCTGCAGGCAGAGCAAGGGCATGTGTTTCACAGCACCTACAAGGAACTGGACAGGTTTCTTCTGGAGCACCTAGCAGGGGAAAGGAGGCAAACCAAAGTTATTGACATTGGTGGGAGACAGATATTTAGCAACAAACGTAAGGAAGTATTTTTGGCTGTTCTTACTGGCTTAAACATTTATCCTGTGACTGATAAGAGGATTCTGAGCTGAGTTTTATAGCAACAGTAAAGAATCTGGAATTTAGCTGGTAATTTTGTTAATTATGTACCTTCACACTAGTGCCTTACATCTAACCAGGTTAAACGCTAGGTACTTGGCTTCCTGCCAAACCGCTATGTGAAATGATCAGTAATGGGTACTAAAAGGGCTGTGTAGCTGGCACTGACACTCCTTCTCCTCCTTCTCCTCCTCCTCTGCCTCCTCCTCCATAGGGCGTTAATACATACCTCCTAAATTTCAGCAGCCAAAAGCGAAGGCATTAAAATGGTGCTTAAGGAAAGGTTAGGGTGAAAAACTGGCCTCTTCCAAACAAACCAGCTAATTCCTAAGCCATGTGCTTTTTGAGTTCAGTCTACTTCACATATCAACATTACATTTTGCTACAGCCAGCACTTCTGAGCCAGGAAAGCACAAGCCGTGCTCTTCTGCCTCATTCACCATCAGCAGAATTACCAGTAAGTTCCAAAATCTTTATTGTTTCTGATGGTTTGTGGCATCCTACAAAGCTGTAGGAACATTGCTCCATTTTCAGCACTTAATCAGGCTTCCAGAAGTGGAGATTTAAAAGATTTGGGTTTGATTTGTAAACTGGGCTGCCTCGTATGAAACTCCTCAATTGAGGATAATTACAGAACATCAAGAGATGTCATTCTATAAGCACATTCCCTGCTGTAATAAGCAACAATACATCCATCTGTCCTTTGACTTTTCCTTTTGGGCTTCCAAATACACTGAGGTCACCCCAGCATTGCTGCAACTTCTGCTTTTGATAAATGATTTACTTTGGTATTTCTAGTGTTACTTTAGAGTAGTCCCTGTAGATACTGCAAATATTAGTTATCTAAAGCATTTAGTGTGTAACTGACAAGTTGTCTTAGGAGTTGCAACTACAAAATATTTCCTGTAGTATTTGGGAAGAATATGCATGCATCTCATTTTTCTGTCTCAAGTGGTCTTTTCATTAGCATGTCTTAAGTTGTGCTTGCATGGTATTAGTCTATTTCCTTGCTAAACTACATGAACCTTTATTTGCTCAGATGACTATGGTATATGCAGGAATTTTACAGATACTTTTTCTTACCCTGAGACCAGCTGTGTTCACGAGGTTCACATTGGTGTCAATGTGACTTTCTCACAGCACACATAGGAAGGAGCAGTGCTGGTAAGCATGGCAGAATCTGGCCCTTCCTGGTTTGCTTCATGTTATTATCAGCTGTAGTTTGCAGGTGAGTTCAGAGGTAACACTCATGGAGGAACAAACTAGGCTTTGTTCAGGTTGTATAAACACCGTATGATTTTAGTCATTGTAGTCTCAGGCACATATTTTTTTTCACTTTACATAATTAACTGGGTTTTATTTCGAAAAAATCCACCATCAAATCCATCACCTCTTAATTTTCTTTCTTGGACACTACATCAGAAAAACATGGCTTACATTTATATTTTTACATCTTTTTAATGATAAAGCTTTCCAATTAGTGGGGGAAAAATTAAATCATATTTCAGGGTCCCTCTGTATTTTCTGTCCGCTTTTGCAGCACTTTCCATTTGCAGTGATTCTAAAAAGCATGTGGTCTCCTGTTGATGCTCAGTCTATTTTCTTTCCTTCTTATTTCTTTTTTTTTTACCTAAAGTCTTGCCAGGAAGTTTAACCCTCAGCTGCCTCTGGCGATCCTGTCCCTAAGCACGTCCTACCTCACGGTCCAACAAATCGAGCTTGAAGGAGGCTGCTGCCTGTGCTGGCTGCAGCTGTTTCCTCCCCCAGCGCCGAATGCTGTTGGCAGCCAATCACAGATGGAGCTAAAACCATCCTCAGCAATTTATGCGGCCACTTCCTCCAGATTTCTCACAAGAGAATTTCTGGACCAGAATTCATTCCTTTCTCGCCCAGACTTTTGATCCTGCATTGGAAATCAAATAAAGGCTTTCTGACCAGTGCTTCTTGCACAATTCTAGGTGCTTGAAACAAAAATTGGGAAGGCACTGCAGCCATTACAGAGCGGTAGCTGTGGGGCTGGGCTGAGACCTCGCCTTTGAAAGGGTATCGGCTGCTCCATGTTTTCACTGTCTTTGTGGGCTGCTCCACAAAGCGGCATTGCCATGTGTACCAGAGGGAGCTGCTTGCCTTGCCTCTCAAATGTAAAGTGGCACGTATTCAGTTTCCTAACAAAGAACCTACAGCCTAGAGATCTGCGATATTTAAGGAATGGCTTCTGGTTGAAATGCTTTTTGTTTGTTTGTTTGTTCGTTTCACACCACAGCTTTTATTTGGTCGTCCCAGCTTCCTGGAGTCTGACATTAAGAGTAAAAGATTTTTTCTGCTTTTTTATTTATTCCTTTATAGATCTTGCTCTTGGCTGATGCTGCCAGTTTTCTGGCTTACTGGATTGTGGCTTCTGTCCTGTTTAGGGCTCTGAATGGAATAAATGACACTCCAATCCTAAAGCTATATCGTTTATCACATAAATGGCATATTGGGAGGGGGGAGCCATTGTTTAAAGGACACAGTGTGAACACCTAAAGTAATGCTTAAATTGCATATGTCTCTGTTAAAACTTTGTGAAGGAATTACATCTGAAATACAAAACAGAGAGTATCACACTGCTAGAATCACTCAGCTGAGTGCAGACAGCAGCTAAAACCAAACAAAATCCTTATCTGATTTCTCTGCAGATTCACCCAGGCCTGAAAAGAGAGAAACCAAATGTCCCATCCCAGGATGTGATGGCACAGGGCACGTGACTGGGCTGTACCCCCACCACCGCAGTCTCTCAGGCTGTCCACATAAAGTTAGAGTGCCACTCGAAAGTGAGTATCATCACCCCGCAGTCCAGCATAACAACTGGATCTGGCCCAGTATTGTGGGTAGTGTGTGGTCATGCTGGAAAAGAAACCCACGTTTTCTGGGTGAGGTTGCAGAATGAGGCTGAGATAGGAGCCATCACACCTTCTTTGCCCTCCAGCTCTTAGCCACAGTCCTACTTCCCACACTTGTGAAGCTCAAGTACTCCTTCGCAGTAGCGTTACAAACAGCAGTTGGCTCCTCAGGTGGCCTGGGAAGAATAAGATCAGAGCCAAGCTATCCCCATCCCTGCCAGCAGACCTGCACGCTGTAGTCTTACGAATCTGCAAGATCTTTCTTGCCCATGCCTTTGCTAAGGCATGCACCGCAGAAATCACCTGCTTGTTGCAGAGCTGTGACTTGATTTGCAATAATCATACACCAAGGCTGCTGGTTTTCATTGTCAATAACTGAGGCCTGGGCATACTCATTCAGAGATATTTCCAGAAGTCCCCCTTACCACTGAGCTCAAAAAAGTTACTTCCATCATGATGTACATCCCAGTGGTAGTCCACAGCATGTCCCTCTTGTATGGCTGTATTGTGCTAAATCTTTATGCCCAGTCTAGCCTGAATTTCCCCACTTATTTCTAACTGTGCTGATCTGATTACATTGGTTGGGGTGTGTGTGTAATCCTGCAATGTGATGCAATGAAATGCTGCATAATAAGCCAAAACCTAATGTGAAACTATTAGTTTAAACAACCTAGTTAGTCAGATTGATTTTTGCAGTGGCATGCATAACAACAAATTAAAGGGATACTTGCACTTTACCAATGTCCTCTTCCTAACTGTAGCTCTCCCTAAAATCTGATACTAAACTGTATTTATAGAAACATCTGCTGTGTTAAGCAGGCTGCTGCATTTGGAAGGCCTTAGCAACATTAACTTTCTAAAAAGTTAAAATTAACAAGTCCTTTTTAATTATCACACTTCAGTCAGATGTGTTCTGTCCTGCTGGAAAAAAAAAAAAAAAATTATAATTTGGTTCCTGCCAGAACAAACCAGTTGACTGAACAGTCAGCTTTTTTGAAGCACTCTGCACCCAAAGGGGTAATGCAGTACTAAAGTCATGAGGGCAGACGTACAAAGACATACTCTGTTTTACACAGACATACATCTCAGTCTTAATCAAAACAATCCACACCAAAGGGCATAAGAAATGTACATGTACTGTGTTAGTGGTGTATGAACCAGAGGGTAAAGTGTTTCATGCTGTAACGTCCTTGCTAACTCCTGCCTCTGTTCTTTTGAAGTCCATAGAAACAATGATGTGTGTGTGGGAAGCCACACTACGGAGATGTAAGGATAAACTGATGTACGCTGGAGGCACCAGCCTTGCTGTGTTGGAGGTCCTTTGTGTCTCCTTTGCTTTTGTGGTCAAAATGTGACATAATTGAGTATCTGAGTCTGAAGAAGAAATGTTCATATTTTTTAGTATACGTATTTTTCATTGATGTATGTTATTATCACCTTCTTTTTTTCTTATTCCTGTTTAGTTCTTGCCATGCATGAAAATGTTTTAAAGTGCCCCACCCCAGGATGCACAGGAAGAGGACATGTCAACAGCAATCGCAACACACACAGAAGGTAGTTCAGAAAAGTTCCTGTCCACTTAAAATCTAACATGTACTCAGGAGTAAATTAATGGGCAAGTCTTGGAATTAGATGTTATGTACTACACTGTAGAATGCCTATGAACTGAAAGGGTAGCCTGTGTGATTTGTAACCAAATAATTGTGTTTAATTTCATTATATCAAAAATGGCTGCAGCACTGAGGATGGCAAATTCCACTAGTATTTTTCAGAGATGAGATTTCAAACTGCAATTTCATTACAGTCTTCACAGTGAAACACCGTCATGTGAAGAGGTAGGAACGAACAAATACATTTTCATTGCTACAACTGGAAAAGCCAGCAGAAACCGAAGACTCTTCATTTAGCACCACAGACATGGTAGTCCTTGGCAAAAACTTCCTATCAAGCCACATTCCCTTTAGCAAAACAGGAAATTTTAAGTGGAATACTTTAGAATCCCTGTAAAAACTAACTCCATTTATTACCCTCAGGAATGTCATCTTCCCACTTGGAACACTCTTGTCTGTTTAACTTGCTGCCTGCAGGGAGAAAGTAAAATTGAGAAAAGCGTTCCAGACAGGCAGCTGGGGAATCACAGCTGGGCTGCAGGTGAGGCAGAGAGCTGACGTGCTCTGTCACCAGCAAGCCACTGCTGTCGGCATGGCTCTTGTCAGTACTGCTTTCTGCTGGAAGCCAGCAAGGCAAAATATTCCATTACAGTGCTTCTGGAAAAATATGTCATTCTTACAATCAAACTTGGGACAGAACATTTTCAAAACCAACTTTCTTTATTGAACTGAATTTTTGTGGGATTTTCTTTTTTGTTGGTGTTTGATTGGTTGATTGGTTATTGTATGAGGGCATCAAAATCAAGGATTATCATATTGTGTTACTATCTTGTAGTCTTCACCAGAAAGAGCACAAGATCATCTACAAGAATATATAAGGAACCAGTAAATATTTTTTCATTGTGTTACCTGTTTTAAATCCCCAGTCATCTTTGCAGAACATTAGCTGTATCGTAAGTGACCCATGAATAAAATAAGAAAACATGTTCTAATGTAATAAAGCAAATGGAAAAAAAAAAAAAAAGAAAGCACAACTTGAAATGACACAGTGTGTTCTTTGGTAACAGTCATTCACATACCCCTGTTTTTTCCCCAAATTCTCTTTCCTTTTAATCAGTAGGAGGCTTATATGCATGGTTTAGCTGATAAAGTAAATGGCATTTGTCAAAAAATTTACTAGTGACTTGCCAGCCACAAGACATCAAAGCAGAACTGTGGAAAACTCCTACATGATTCAGTTTCCAGATATATCACCTCAAATGCACAGATTTCACAGTTTTGCATTAAGGGCTGAGAAACAGATGAATCTAGGCTATAATAGCAGTAGTTCCCATAGATGCACAGGGCACCAGAGAAATTCAAAGTCATTGGGTTCCACAGCGCACATTTCCTTTACTTAAGATTTCATTTTAACCTTTTTTTCTTTCTTTCTTTCTTTCTTGTTTCTTTTCTTCACCTTGCTTTTAAACAGCCTTTCTGGTTGCCCAATTGCTGCAGCTGAAAAGTTGGCAATGTCCCAGGAAAAGAACCAGCTTGAGTCTCCAAAAGCTGGGCAGTGCCATGACCAGACTCACAGGTAGGAACCCTCACAAAGTAGTCTCTCCAAAGTATTTCTGCGCAAACTCTGTTGATTAGTCCTCAGCTCCTTCCCCCATTTCAGATTTTAGCTACAGGGGTAACTTGGTTTTCCAAGATGAACCTCTGCAAAGCTAAATAACTTGACTGTATCTCAAAAGTTAACAAGCAGCCTTCTGCTGGTTCTTGTGCATGAGGCTGACATTAAAGACAACAGACATATCTTTCGAAAAATAAATCAAATATATTCTACTAAATCTTATTTCACTGCAAATAGCCTAATCAATGGTTCTCAAATGTCTTTATCCTGTAAACCAAATCTCCTATCTTGCTGAAATGTTTCAAACAGTTTTCAATAACTGTTCCTTTGTTACAATATTTTGGCCACTGAAACTTGATTAAAGATGTCTTTGACCTTATTGCACTTTCAGCAGCTCAGTCCACATTTATTTAGTGATTCTTTTCAGAGGAATCTTCCAGTGATCCAGTAAGTAGCATGTTATTTGAAAGGGTTGAGAACTCTGCTCATTCTGTTTCCCCACCATTGAATAATTCATATTTTGAGTTTCTTTATTTTAAGTTTATTGGCTTAATTAGTTTAATTTATTTTTTTATACAATGGCACCAAAAAGGAAAAACATTTTTTATTGCAATTGTGTTTTGTTTGAGAGTTATATGGACCCTACAGACATGCATAATTTGCACATCATTGGCACCACGACCATTACAACCTATTATATTCAGGTCTATTTGGGGACACTTTAATTTGTGGATTATTGACATGATCAGCTCTAATGGTTCCTTCAGAGCCATTACAGAATATTATGTCCATGTGTCTGCCAACTGCACGGGCCTTAACTCCACATATGAAAAGTCCTTAGGAAATTACTAAAGACAAGTAGTTACTGAACAGTAACTAAATGGAATAACACACCATAAATCATTCGTTCCTCCCAATAACAGAAGCAATTATTTTGGATCATCTTATATTATATTTATACCATACTCATTCACAGTAAAGTGAGAACAATTGTGATCTGTAAAACTACAAGTCCTTGGACTAGCAAAAATCCAGAAAAAAATTAGAAATAAAAGAAGCACCATGCTACAGTGGTAATCTAGACGTAAGTCAGTATCTTTCTTGTAAATAGCCCACACTGTTACTAGAGAACACTAGATTTTTTTTATATCCTCAGCTTTGAACTTTTATGAAGTCAACGTACTCTTTGACTACTAGGTCAGCCACCATATTTACTTATTTCTTTTATATACCTACCAGTAAGTTTTGCATGTGATAACAGCATACTTCCTGATACTGAGAGGCAACAGTATACTATTTTTTAAGAAAAGGATATTTAAAGATATTCTTGTCTTTCTCACTCATTCTTTTTCTCCTCTCTGCAGGACAAATTTAGCAAAGCAGCCTGAGGTATCTCAGTACAATTACAGAACTTCACAGCCAGTCACCTCCTCCAGAGCCACCCTGGCAAAAGAACAGGAGAAGTTTGGGAAAGTACCATTTGATTATGCCAGCTTTGATGCACAAGTCTTTGGCAAACGCACAACAGCACCTGTGGCACAAGGACGAAAAACACCCCAGTTCCTTGAATGTAAGCTTGAAATTCCATTATCTCTTGGAAAATGGGCAAAATGTCAATGACTTTTTCTTTTTTCTTTTTGCTTGTTCTGCTTTTAAACTTCTAGAATTCAAAAAATCTCTGTAGGACGCATCTTTAACCACTTGTGGCCAGAACACTGAATATAATCACTAGTTTGCTAAATATAGAATGCTAGAATGCTAAATATCATCACTATAAAATTTACTTTTTTCATGTTTCTTTTAAAAGCAATTATCAGGGGAAAAGAGGAGTAAAAAGGAATGGTTTATGTCTTATCTGTTACCTTCTTCCTTGGCTAAATTGTGATATATTTATGTGATAGGATGCTGCCACGAGAAGTCCCATGGAATGTGTCTGCACAAGTCGTAATGCATTGTAGCACAGAGAAACCCAAGTTAGGCTTTAAAAGGCATTTCAGATACCTTTTAGATGCACCCATACAGGTGGTATTCCTCCTAGATGACCATGTGCCTTGACTGCTTTACTTCTAGGCCTGGGTTGAATATGTTTTGATATCTCATATTTCTGTACTACATCATATTTGTAGTGCAGACATACCCAATGCATGAAATTGTTACCAAGACTCCTTTGCTTGCATCACTCACAGATTTGCTGAGGTACTACTCTGCACAAATGAGATACCACAGTGCAAACAATTATTATTTATTGCAGATGCTCTTCACAATCTGCATGGGAAACTTTAGCAAGATTCTGCCATTATGTTGACCATTATAAAATACTCTTTAGTTCAAAGAAACAAATGATTCTGTTGCTATGAGGGAAATGGAAAAAAAGGGCTTAATTGCACTATATTTGGGTTCAGAAGAAAATAGATCCAAACCAATGTGACAAAAGACTCTTTAGTTGTTTTTTCTTTTGTTCATGACAAAAAATTTAGTAAAGGAAAACAAAAAAGGAAAACAAATTGCATCCCACTTATGTCAACAAAGAACGACATTCATAGTAGGTGAACAGAAAAGCAGAAAATTTTATATATGTATATATATACATA